CTTCTAAAAGAACTAGAAGAATCATATCACAGAGAAGTATGCACACCCATGCTTACAGCGGCACAGTTTGTAATAGCTAAATCTTGGAAACAGCCCATTTGCCCATCCATTGGAAACTGGATAAAGAAGATATGGTTTTTCTATAAAATGGAATATTACTCAGCCATAAAGAGCGAGAGAATAGATTCATTCATAGGAAAATGGATACATATTGAAGATATACTCCTAAGTGAAATAAGTAAGTCACACATGTGTAAATATTGAATAGTTTCTCTGGTGTGAATAATCTGCAATAATACATAAGATCCTAATAAGATTACTGACATTTAGAAATGGGAAGAAAATAGCTAAAGGTGTAGGGAAGATGTGATGGGTAGCGGAAGGGTAATAAGGGAAAAGAAATAAATGGAAGATAATGAAAAGATGAAAATTAAGTTTTTGTAGATGGGGAGTGGAGGAGGGGGTGAAGGGAGGGCAGGGGTAAGGGGAAAAATGAGAATCAAGACTTGTCATGTAGAGATACAAGATCCCAACAATGAATGTAACTGTACTGTATCCCTAAAATATACTAATAAACTCAATTAAAGCTGAAAAAAGAAAGAAAAAAAAAACAGCAACAAAGAAAAGCCCAGGTCCTGATGGATTCACTACTGAATTTTACGAGACATTTAGAGAAGAACTACTACCATTACTCTTCAAACTTTTCAATGAAATTGAAAGCGAAGCATTACTTCCAAATTCATTCCTGAAAGCAAGCATCACTTTGATTCCCAAACCAGGGAAAGATGCAACTAAAAAAGAGAAATATAGGCCAATCTCCTTAATGAATATAGATGCAAAAATCCTTAATAAGATACTAGCACACAGAATACAGAGGATCATCAAGAAGATCATACATCCTAACCAAGTCAGATATATACCAGGGATGTAAGTATGGTGCAAAATATGTAAATCAATAAGTATAATATACTATATTAACAGAGTAAAGGACAGAAACCATATGATCCTCTCTATAGATGCAGAAAAGGCATTTGACAAAATTCAACACCCATTAATGATCAAAACGCTGCAAAAATTAAAATTGAAATAGAGGGTCTATATCTCAACTGAATAAAGGCTATCTATGAAAAACCAATAGCCAACATCAAATCAAATGGCCAAAACATGCAAACCTTCTTGTTGAAATCAGGAAAAATACAAGGATGCCCACTATCACCACTCCTTTTCGATATAGTTCTGGAAACATTAACCATAGAAATTAGACAAGAGAAAGAAATTAAAGCAATAAAGATAGGAAAGGAAGAATTTAAGCTGTCATTATTTGCTGATGATATGATACTCTACATTGAAGACCCAAAAAACTCCACCAAAAGACTTCTAGACTTAATTGACACTTTTAGCAGAGGAACTGGGTCCAAGGTCACCACACAAAAATCAATAGCCTTCTTGTACACAAATACTAGACTCACTGATGGAGAAATTAGGGAAACAATTCCTTTTGCAATAGCACCCAAAAAAATGAAGTATCTAGGAATCAATCTAACAAAAGAAGTAAAAGACATCTACACTGAAAAGTACAGCACTCTGAAAAAAGAGACTGAGGAGGATATAAGAAAATGGAAAGATGCCCCCTGCTCCTGAGTAGGAAGAATCAACATAGTGAAAATGGCCATACTACCAAAACTGCTATACAGATTCAATGCAATACCAATTGAAATCCCAACACTATACTTCACAGAACTAGAAAGAATTCAAAAATTCATTTGGAACCATAAGAGACCTAGAATAGCAAAAGCCATCATAGGCAGTATACACATGGCAGCGGGTATAACAATTCTCAATTGAAACTATACTACAAAGCCACTGTGATAAAAACAGCATGGTGCTGGCAAAGAAACAGACCTGATGATCAGTGGAACAGATTGGAAGACACAAAAACAACTCCAGATGCACTCAGCTACCTCATCTTTGCAAAAGGAGTTGACAATTCCCACTGGAGGAAATATAGCCTCTTTAATAAATAATATTGGAAAAACTCTATCTCAACCTGCAAAAACTTAAAACTAGACTCTTATCTGTCACCATGCACTAAATTAAAATCCAAGTGGATTAGAGTTCTAAATATAAAAACAAAAATACTAAACTTGCCAGAAGATAAATTAGGCAGAACTCTGGAATACAGTGCCATAAGAAAAGACTTTATGAACAAAACCTCAGTAGCATGGGAACTAGCAGAAAGAAACAACAACTGGAATCCCGTCTCATTAAAAACTTTTGCACTGCAAAAGAAATAGTCAGTGGAACCAAGAGACAACCTACAATGTGGGAAAAACTTTTTACCAGCTGTTCCTCAGACAAAGAACTATTATCTAGAATATTTAAAGAACTCAAAACAACCCCCGCAAATATAAAGATCCAATTCAAAAATAGGCATCTGAAATGAACAGGCATTTCTCAGAGAAAGAAGTAAAAGCAGCAAGTAAATATATGAAAAAAAACTTCCACATCACTGGTCATTTTAGAGATGCAGATGAAAACAACACTGAGATTTCACCTCACCCCACAAAGAATGGCTGCTATCAAGAAATCACACAATAACAAATGTTGGCACGGTTGTGGGGAGAAAGGAATCCTTCTCCATTGTTGGTGGGAGTACAGACTGGTGCACCCACTATGGAAGTCAATATGGAAATACATCACATAACTAGGATTAGAGGTTCCATTTGACCCAGACATCCCTCTGTTGGGTATTTTTCCAAAAGAATTAAAAGAAGCATATCAAAGTGATATATGCTCACCAATGTTTGTAGCAACACAGTTTGTCACAGCTGAAACTTGGAAATAGCCCATCTGCCCATCAGTTGGAAACTGGATAAAAAAGATGTGGTTTTTCTATAAAATGGAATACTACTCAGCCATAAAGAATGAGAAAGTAGATTCATTCATAGCTAAATGGGTATGTTTTGAGGATATACTCCTAAGTGAAATAAGTCACACATATGAAAATGCTGAATAGTTTCTCTGGTGTGAAAAACTAAAATAGTACTCAAGATCCTAAGGGGACAATTATCAATGTGAAATAGGAAGAAAAGGACCAAAGGTATAGGGACAGTGAGAAGGATAGGGAAAGGGGAATAAGGGAAAATGAAAAAAAATATGAGAAAATGTAAAAATAGAATTAAAGTTTTTGAAAGTGGGGAGGGTAAGAGGGGATGAAGGGAGGGTGGGGACAAGGGGAAGAAATGAGAACCAAGACCTGTCATGTAAAGGTACAAGATCCCAGTAATGAATGTAACTCTACTGTCTACATAGAATGTACCAATAATTCAATTTAAATTTTTAAAAATGAAACAAAACAAAACAATAAAATCGAAACACCTCAAACCATACAAAAGGCTGGAGATGTAGCGCAGTGTGAAGGTTGTGCTTTTAATCATCTTCAATGGAAAAAAAAACTGTAAACATCACCTACTTTCATTTGTATACCTGGAAAAGATCTGGAGCCCTTGCTTTGTATTCAGGAATCTTCACTATTTCATGAACTAATTTATGAACAATGTCCAAGATCCTCATTGTGCTGCAGAGTGGGGCAAGACAAGGCTTAGTCAGAAAGGAAGGATTTGACACATTTTTTCTCTTTAATTGACACATAACCAGCACCCACAAGTAAGGGATCTGGTGTAATAATTTAGTACTTGTATACAGTGTGTAATCATTTGATCGAGGTAATTAATAATTCCATCTTCTCTGCATATGTGCATATGTGTGTGTGTATGTGTGTAAAATTATACAAGCGGTTATACTAGCTGGCCTTAGATGATCAGAAAAAAGAATCACAACAGCTACCTGTAGGATCACATGTAGAAAAATTCAAAACTTTAATCTGTGGGCAATTGAGACAGAGAATCCAGCATCTTGGAAGTTGGCTATCCACAAATGAGTGGCTTAACTGTAGTTCTGGTAGCTAAATGGCAAAAATCAAAATGGCCAACAGGAAGGGTTTAAACAAATTCCTATTTTATATTGCTGCTACTGTGTTACATATTTATTAGCTTTTTACCATTTCTTTTCTATCACGCTGTTCAGCATCACTGAAACTGGACATTTCAGAATTCTGTCTCTTAGCTCTGACAGATAATGTAAAACTGCAGCCTTTCATCTTCAGCCTCCTGCTATCGAGAAAGCTGGTAATCATACTTAGAAACCTAGTCATCATCCTGGCCATGCACTGTGACTGTTCTCTCCACAGACCCTTGTTTTTCTTTCTCTACACACTTTCTTTTACAAACAGGTGTTTAAAGTCAAACAGTTTCAAAGCAGAACCTCAGGATCATCCAAACTCAAAATCAGATAATTAATCACACAGACTGCCTCTCTGAGGTCTGGTTTGTCTTACTTTTTGGTGGCCTGGAAAACTGTCTCTTTACAGTGGCAGCTGTAACTGCTATGTGGCATCCACTTAGGAGTGCAGTGAGCATGATCCCCACATCTGTGCCTGCCCAGTTCTGCTCTCATGGATCACTAGCCTTGTGGGTGGCCTGCTCTCACTGTGGTGGTGCCGTAGCTATCCTGCACAGACCTGCAAATCCTCCATGTCTTCTGTGTACTTGCTCATGTCATCAAATTTGCCTGTACCGATTCCCTCGTGGGTAACACCCTGATATATATCGTCTCTTACTTATTTACTGGAGTTTTTTTCCTTGGAATTATTTTGTTTTATATTCTTACTTTGTCTTATATTTTGTCCTCTTTCTGAAGAATAACATCATCCAGTGAAAAGCACAAAGATGTTTTTATGTGTCATTCTGACCTGTGAGTTGTATCCTTGATACAAGGGATACCTTTTAGCATGTACATCAGTCCTGCTGTGACACATTCAGGGGATCTGTGGTGGCTTCAAAGCTTTACTCCCTTTCTCTCAGATTCTGATTCCCTTCTATGATGTCATTTGCTGTCGACTTAGGATTCTACGGTAAGTCACAGTGACTGGTTTTCTTGTGAGCCAGATTGCCTGACTGTTATATTTCTTCTCCAATGATGAGGTAACATAATAACCACAAACATTTTAATGTGGATGGAAACCTATACCTTCTTTTTCTTTTTCTAACTCTGTGATGTGATGTTTGATATTCTCAAGGAAAAAAAAAATCTCTCTGCTTCTACAGAGGCAGAGCCTGATCTGGGTTTGTAGTTTTAAAAACTTATTTTATACTAAACTATCACAACAAGGTAATTTCAGTGAAGAAGGACAGGAAGATATGGAAAGCAACAAGGCCAGTATCCTCAGAAAGCAAGTACTTTATACAAGTGAGGCCACTGATTAGCCAGTTGTATTGATTCAGCATGTAAAGATCCTTGACTGCAACAGCTGTTGAAGAGGCCAGGCTTACATTGCTAAGTGTCTTTTTATTTTTACAGGATCATTCTCTCATGAAATTTATTTTAATATTCATGTTATTAAACTTGTCTTTTCATTCTACCTCCAGGGCACATTCCTTTAAGCGCTTCACTCTTTTTGTTGACACAGCCCTGGTCTAGCACTTCATAGGCACTCAAGAAATATTTACTGAATTGAATATATCTATTATGCCTTTGCTCTGTTGCCTTTTAAATTTTTATGATTATATGTTTGTGAAATACCATAATTACATTCAGCTTTGGAACTGAAACACATAGTGCATCTTCATCCTCCTCCTACCTCCTCCCCAAACTACCTCTCCTTGCCAGCTCTCTTTCCCATCTCTGGAGAGTAGACCTCCACATTTCCTATTCAGCGTCCTTCTTGAAATCTTTCTCAGCTTTCTTTCCATGTAGCTGTACAAACTGCCTGGAAAACTTTCTCCTAAAATTCGCTTTCAGATACACTAAGAAATAGCATATTCAGGAGTGAAGTGATGGATCTTGTTTACACTTCAGTATTTCCATGCTGGTCATTCTAAGGGGTTACATCAAGTGGTGATATAAGTTGAACAGCACAGATTGACATCAACATTTCATGTATATGTATAAATTTATCTTAACATTTTACAAAATCTCTCCAGACTTCTTTTTCTACTTGAGTTACAGGCTCATTCTCTTCTCACTTGAGGCAGAAGTACTCATAATATATCATCCCACACTTTTCCTCTCGTGTTTTTCTGATGTCAATCAAACCCAAACATAATACAGTTTAGTATATAAGTGACTATATATGTGAGCTTTGTGCTCATTTTTCATTCACAGTTCACAGTTATCTATATCTTCACACATCAAGGCTCTGCTCCTAATTTCAATTTACCAACATCTGCTGCTTAATGAGATAGATAAGAGTAAAAATTCAGGGCTGGTTTCTTTGACAGTACCATATTGTTTTCATCACAATGGCTTTTTAATATAGTTTCAAGTTGGGGATTTTGAGATCACTTGCTATGTCTGTGTTGCCTAGAATTTCTTTTATTTTTCTAAGTCTAATATGATTCATTCTATTTATACACTAGTCCTTTCATTCAAAAGAAAA